GCTCTCGGTAAAGCGCTCTCCATGGAACTTCACTATACCTCTGGATATCATCCGGAAGCCGACGGGCAAACTGAGCGTGTCAACCAGACTCTCGAGCAGTACATCAGGATTTATTGTTCCTACCAACAAGATGACTGGTCGCCTCTACTTCCGATCGCCGAGTTCGCCTATAATAACGCTCCCAATGCTTCCACTGGTATTACTCCATTCTTCGCTAACAAAGGATACCACCCAAATATCACCGTTCGGCCCGAGGTCGACATGAAGTCTGATCTAGCCAGAGACTTCGTCGTCAATCTCGATGAACTCCACGTCTTCCTTCGAGAGGAAATCCTTTTAGCTCAGTCTCGTTACAAGGAACAAGCTGACAGGAAAAGAATCTCGCACCCGGAGTTCCCGATCGGCTCCGAAGTATTCGTTCTTGCTAAGCACATTCGTTCTACTCGTCCTACTGAAAAATTCTCAGAAAAATATCTTGGTCCTTTCAAGGTCATCAGTCGACCTGGTACTTTGTCTTACGAGCTCAAGCTCCCAGACTATCTTCGCCGCATTCATCCGGTTTTCCACGTCTCACAGCTGGAGCCGGTTACGCCGAATCCTTTCCCGAATCGTACTCAATCTCCTCCACCTCCAATTGAAGTTGATGGGGAAGAGGAGTACAACGTTGCCGAAATCCTCGACTCCAAGCTGGACAGAAGGTATAAACGTTGTCCTCTACGTTATTACATTCGGTGGGCCGGTTATGAAGGTACCGACGATGAGTTCTCTTGGGTTGCTGCTGATGAATTACATGCTGACGAACTTGTACCGGCGTTCCACGCCCGATACCCTCACAAACCTGGACCTTGATCACAAAAAATCATTTTATTCCATTTCCCTTTTTCACCGCGCTCCGCCGAAGTCTACTTTGTGCGTTTAGAGGATAAACACGATGATAGCAAATTGAGTGTTTATCTCCTTTTTCTTAATTACTTACATTCTTCTTCGAACTATTTGCACTTATATTTCATTCATACTTATACTATTTACACTTCGAACTAATTATTTCTTACGCCGCTTCGCGGCCCATTCGCTTTCCGATCTCAAATCGAGTTAACATTTTTTATATATACAAAGACCAAACAACAAAGAAAATTGTACAACGAGGGCAGGGCGACAAGAAGTATACAAGAAGAGGCCGAAGGCCGATGTCCGATGTCCGATGTTACTCTACTCCGCCCTCTCCTTCCCTTTCTCCGACCGGGCCTTCTTCGGCGCCGGTTCTCCCTCCTCCTCTCCTTCTCCATCCTCTTCTTCTTCCATCCTCCTATCCTCTTCCTCCTCCTCACTATCCACGGCCCTTCGCCTCTTCTTCGGCAGCCGCGAAGGCCCTGGTTCCGGCATCTCCGGTGGCGTTTTCCTCCTTCTCGCGGCGTCCGTCATCAACCAGTCCAATTTGCGGTTGATATGGCGGTTGTAGGTGTTGTCCTTCAACTGGCCCTCTCGAAGCTGCCGGTTGTCTGCCAGCAGTTGAGCCATTTGGCTCTCCAAGATCGCCAGGCGCTCGCCGATCGGTTGTCCTCCCCCCTCTCGCTTCACCGTCGAAGGACGCCCGGAGTACGAGCATCTGACCTTTGCGTCGTGACAGGGTTTACAAATAATTGAACTCCTCTTGCCAGCCTGCATCTGGCAAGGGATCTTCTTGTTCCTGCATCGTTCGCAGGGAACTCTTTCATCTTCGTCGTCGTCGTCGTCGTCGCCGTCACCGCCGTCGTCGGGGTCCCCTCCAACAGGCTACAAACAAGACCAGGAATGTTAGTTAAGGTTACTGTCGAAAACTTACGATTACTCACCTGGGCCTTGGTTTTGCCTTTCCCCTTTTCCCTTCGAATTTCCACCACTGGTCGTCGTAGGGAAACCGAACTTCCTCCTGGAGAGGAACCCCGCTGACTTCGAGCGGTGGCCGCCGCCGCCATTACCCTCCGGCGCTCCTCCAACTCCCGAGCTGCCGCCTCCTTCTGCCTCTGCGCTTCCTCAGCAGCTTTCCTAGCTGCCTCTTCCTCGGCCTTCTTCCTCGCCGCCGCCGCCGCTTTCCTTGCCTTCATCCTGCGGACCTTCTCCTCCGCCCGCCGGATAGCCTCATCGTCGTCTTCTTCCAACTCCTCCTCGTCGTTGTCGACAGGGTCGGCGGGTGGTGGAATTGTTGTTCGGGACCTCGAAGGCCCAGCGGTAGTAGCGGAAGTGAGGGTGGTAGTGGTGGTACGGCTAGCGGACATTTTTTGGACTTAGAAGTTTTGGGAACTTGGGTCCTACCGGCGAAACTCTGGGCCTTTTATACGGCAAAACTGCGCACGGACCAGCGAAAATTTTCCTTCGAATTGTACTTGGTGTACGGTGAACCGAAAATTTTCACTGATGACTAACGCCATTTCCCGGTACTAACGGCTTTCGAAAATTTTCCTGCTGACTGATAGGCCAAATCCCCGATCCTGACGGCCTTCAAAATTTTTCCTTGGTGACTAACCAACTACCGGTATTAATGGCTTTCGAGGGCTCAAGCCTAAGAGGGGGATACTGTCAAGTCCATGCCACGGGCCTCCATTCCGCCGCTCGGTATTCCGAAGATCTGCTCTTATTGTAATCTCTTCCTATTGTTCTTTCTCGCTACACATATCCTTTCGTTCTAGTCTCTCATTATTGTCTTTTACTCTTTCGTGCTAGTCTCTCCTTATTGTCTTTTACTCTACCCTGCAGGTACTACTCGTATAGCTCCTAGTAGTTAGTCTAGCGCTCCGCACCGATGCGCCGTTCCGTAGATATAAATACTGCCTGTACGCTACTGTAGTTCCTCAGTTTAATTATCAACTTAGATCAACTTAGATCTCCCTTCTCAACTGAGCTCTTCTCTAAGTCTTCTGGCTCAACGCCTTGAAGTACGTCCTCCTTGACCTTAGGACTTTAACGTCCTCTGGTCCGCTCCTCGTCATCGGCGATACCGCCGCTCCGACCTGGCTGCTACTTAGCTCCTCTCTCTCTACTCTCGCTCTCCGGGGACTAACGGCGTAACGGCGGTGTTGTTAATAGCTTCACTACTGTCCCACTCGTCTTCCGCACTTAGACACCCTGTGGCCTTGGCACGGTTACACGGTGTACATGATCTTAACACATTCCTCTCAATCTGAACTATTCTTAGGTCATTCCTGTCCTCGGTCGCAGTTTCTGTAGCTCCCTTCGAGCTCCAGCTTGCTCCTAGCATGCTACAACATAAATCTTTTATACCAAACCTACTCTTAAGACCAATTCTGACCCAGGTCTTACACAGAGTGACTTAGTGGAACAGGGGAGTGGAGCAACTGAGCAGAACAACAGAGCAGAGTGTAGGCAGACTGGTCCCAAGATAATGACAGAGATATATTGAGTATCATAGTCATAGGTAGTAATAAGTAAACACACACCTGGTCCTAAGATAATGACAGAGAGGTCAAGATAAGGGACCAGGCTGTGGGGGTTGGGCTACATATACATAATCTGGTCTGCAAGAAACAACAATGTAATACTGTACAGTTCAGGGAAAAGGAAGGTGGGTCAGGTGGATCAGTAATCAATGGGGGATTGACAGCAATGGAATGTGATTGTGATAGAATGATGTATTATACAAGTAAAGGCATCAAGACGGTGAGAAAGGAAAATAATAGGGGCTGTGTACTTCATGACACTGAGTTGAATTGTATTGATTTCTTGTGACTGGCATGGGATATCACGGGACTGTAACTCTGTCACAATTGTTTTTTCTCATCTCACAGCATCTCACTCAGTTGTTACTCCATAGATACTGTAGTTTATGTAAATTTGCTTTTATTTTGTTCTTAAAAAACATTCAATGTTGGCACCTGAAAGGCGCCCCATTTTTTTGATTCCATAATATTTAATAACCCCCAAGAAAGGAGCTGAGTTTTTGCCATGCACGGTGGTGCAGTGGCCTGCAATCACATGTTCAAAGAAACAAGATACTGAAGCAGAAATTACTGATTAGACATTGTCCTTGCACAGTTGACATTTAGCTTAAACTCGAGATGACTAGGCACAATAGCTCTACCTTGCAGGGAAGCGTGTACCCATATTAGGAAATTTGAACATACAGCATTAAGCCTTAGTCATACATGTATTCTGCAAACAGCGAGTGCGGATGAAGAGGAATAGAAGGCTATCGAAAGTAGAATCTGTTCCAGAACTGGGTTCATTGAGACCTTCATAGGCAGACGTAATACATGATGACCGTTGGGATCATAGCGGTAAGACTTTGAAGATCTTCTCTGCCGTAGTGGATCTTGGTCCTGTACATAGTCTTGTCCGTGCGGTTGTCCGGCATTCTCAACCACTCTTAACCTGACTGTGTAAATGTCACTACATATAATCAAGGTCGTATACGTACTCCCAGGGCTTTGAAGATCTGACCCACACATGAAAGCGGCAACAAAGTTGAAACGTTTGCAGGGTGCACGGGCATTCTTGAACCATTTAAGTCCGAATTTGTTTAAGTTTATCAATGCTCGTATTACCACGCTTGCTCTCTTGGTTATAGGGAAATAGCAGACATCGACAGCGTTGTACATTGCATTGGCCGTGGACTCAAAACAAATGTTCACCCTTGCACTCTTGGTAGTAGTGGTAAGGCTGTGAGTTTTACGATTTATCAAAATCATTATTTGTGATCCTGTTGCTCTTCCCGCTACGGGATAACAAATTTCTTCCAACTTAGATGCAGAGCGTAGATGCCTCTAATCATCCTCCACATCCCCGACGTTTCTGAACTCTGCGGGTTTCCCGTGGGCTTTCAATCACTAATTGCTACCCCTTTCCGACGATAAACTCATCATGTAACAGGTCATCTCCCGGTTAATTTTATACGAGAAGCACATTCCCGGACTTTTGGCCCTTTCTCCGTCCCGTCATTCCTTTCCGAGTTTCTCGTGGGACGCCATCTCACTGCATCTGATGGGAGCTGCTCTATAGCAGCAGTATAACACTATATATAAGTTTCGTCTCTTTTCTGACCTACTTTTACACCTCTCGCTCATTGCGATCTGACTACATAGGTATATTACTTGCTCGACAGCCAGAAGATGCCCCACCTTCCTTCTCCCCGAATAGCACCAGTCTCTGTTCGCATTACGATCATTGGCGCTAGTATCACTGGACTTGCAACAGCATGTGTGTTGCGGAGGTCAGGACACAAGGTATTAGTAGTAGAGAAAGGCGATGGAACGTTCAGAGTACGTATGTCAGTATAATCTCCCTTATTAAGACTCACTTTACGCCCAGAGCCCAGGCATTATTCCGTGAATGTCACGAACCTTCAGGAAGAGGAGGATGAAGAACTGATTTTTCCCTTCTCAGATCCCCGCCGAATATGACTCGAGTCCTACAGCGATGGGGCCTTCAATCATATCTTGCGAAATCAGGGATGGTAGTCGACCAGTTCCGGTTTCTAGAAGGTTAGTCGCCTAACATTCCAGTTTCTATTTGTAATGTTGACCAGAGCGTTCTACTTTCAGGTCAGAGCGGTAAAACCATTGGAGTATTGAAACTCTACGAGGAGCTTTTGAAAGACCTCATGGCAGATTTCTTGCTAATACAGGTGAGCACGAACTTCGCTCTCTTTCTCGTTCTGTGTTGATGAATTCTCACAGCACGGAGACCTTATATCTACCTTCCAAGATATAGCACGTCGAGAAGGAGTCGAGATTCGATATAACACACCCGTTGTGAAAGTCGAACGTGTTCCTCTTGCAGCCCTCTTGGAAAACGGAGATATTGTGTACTCCGACCTCATCGTTGGTGCAGATGGTCCGTTAAGGAGTATCAGTCGAGATGCCGTCCTACTACGCCAGATTGAAGAATTACCCACTCAACATGTGTGTTTCTCGTTTTCCGTATCATTGAGCGACCTGCAAGCCGATAATGAATTGGAAGGAATGTGCGAACAACGCAATGTAAGTGCCGTTCAATGCTTACAGAAAATTAATCCTAACCTTGTAATTCAGTGGAATATGTGGCTCGGTGACGGATTCGTGATCTACGGGGCATGCCATGTGTGTGCTTCGCTTTCGTCGGATTTTTTCTCGTGTACTCAATTCGCCCATTTATTAGAGGGAAAGAAACAGATATTTTCTTTGCATCACCACTGAGATGGACGGAGATATGACTGAATATCAGGGAAATTGGACCAAACAATATCCCGTTGACCGCTTCGATTTAAGATTGGACCGCTTCGATCCTCGGTAAGTATAGAGTGCAATAATGAAGCAACGCACACTCACATTTCTTTCTATGTAGTATCCAGAAGCTCCTTCAAATGGCGGGAGTCGTTATTCCGACTTGTCATGTATTCATCCCAGAGCCAGAAAACCTGATATGTGACCTCGACAAAGTAATATTGGCTGGCCAATCTGCTCATCCGACCATGGTGTGTTTTACTTTACCTTCAATGTATCCTTCGTGTATAATATAAACCCCAGCCCGACGGAATGCATTCAACCGCAATGTGCATAGAGGACATCGATGCCCTTGACTATCTCCTGACTCGTATTAAACATGTCGATGAAATTCCTCGTGTTCTTTCCGCTCATGAAGAGCTTCGCATGGAGCGATGTACTCACGCCAGAGATTGGGAATTGAGAAAACTTCAAATGTTCACTCTTAATCACGGAGAGGATCGGGAGCTGCGAGACGCGAAAATCCGGTGTCTATCTGAATGCGAAGACATGGAGGAAAAGGAATACGCTTTCAATGATCTATGGGGCGAGGAGGTGGACTTTTATGCCTACGATCCTATAGAACAAGCTGACAACTGGTGGAGTATGTATGGGACGGTGATCTCGCGACGGACTCAGATTACAGGACCTTCATAGTCCCGGGACCTCCAACTTTTTCCCACTCAAATCAACAGTAGAAATCCCATCGCATACATAACATAAGTACCCCATCCGCATATTTATTTGCATTCACCGTAGTAGATATCTCATTTTATACAAGACGTCGTAGCTCAATTCGCTATCTGAACAAGCAAACGCCAGTGTGCCACTGGCAATTTCCAGCTCCTCACATTTGGTTCGCCTCGATTCGTCTGCTATGAACATCTCTTGGCGGGAAATTACATCATATTGTCCGTCTACATCCCAGTTCTGATTGTCAACGAGCGATAGGAAATTTCTAAGTACCTCGAATCCGAGGGAGATATGTATGCAAAAAAACTCAAGTCCTCGGGGAGTTTGATAGCAAAGTAGATACCAGTGAGATCCCGGAAGAACAGCGCCTTCATCTCTTGGATCATGATCTATGTCCTGAGTTTGCATACGAGCGATTCCCACCGCGATGTTCGTCGCTCGCCGAGCCCGAATCAAGGTGATTCAGGGAGCTAGGGGCAACCAGAATCTAGAGGTACCTGAAAGGCACTTCATCCAACGTCCGGAGCTGCTTGGGTGCAAACAGGACCCCCGACAACCCTCCAATGTGTGTTGGACTGGTACTCCGTATGCTCAGCTTTGTCCTGTGCGACCCTTCCGGCCACCGATTCTAACTTACCCCTATATTTCTCGATTACCATATAATATTCGATACATGATTTTATACTCCCTCAGTTGTTTCTCTTATCAACTGAGGTGAGATTACTTATTTCTTTTCTTAGTCCTTAGTCTTACTCAAGTACTATAGGTTATCACTCAACAGGTATATAGATATAATATTACAGTTGTTTCTCTTATCAACTGAGGTTATCACTGTAAGACCTGGGTCAAAATAGGTCTTAGGGTAGGTTTTGGTATGTGGAGGTTTATGTTGTAGCGTGCTAGGAGCAGGCTGGAGCTCGAAGGGAGCTACGAGAACCGCGACCGAAGACGGGAATGACCTAGTAGTAGTTGGAACGACGAGATGGTGACCCTTGAGGGGTTCCTAGGAGGTCCAGGGAGGTCCCTAATGCGTAGGGAGGTTCAGGACGAGTGCGGGACCGTAAGATATTGCGTAGTAGGAGTTGTACTCGCTAGAACGTCAATATAGAGTCGAGTAGGTGGTTTATGCAACGGGGTCTCGAGGGTGTAAGCTCCCGAGAAGGGATATGCCAGGGAGGGTAGGTCCCTGGGGACTAGGTTTGAGGATGGTCGTCCTCGAGTGTGGGAGGTGGTAACGGAGGAGCAATACGTAGTTCGACGTGAGGGGTAGCTTCGACGTTACCTAGATCGAGGTCCCGAAGCTTACGAAGTAGCTAGGGAGCTCTGGGAGGTTTGGGGAAGGGTAACTCACCAAGCGGGTAGGCGTTGGGGAGCTTTAGTAATGTTCGAGGGAGCTCGGAGACTCACTCGGAAGGCTTAGACTTGAAGTGAAAGCGTATATTCGATCGTATGGACGATCAGAGAGACAATAGACAGAAGTAGAGAGAAACAGAGGTAGAGAAACAGAGAGTAGAGAGAAATCCGTATGGTTAGCAGGTACAAAGGGACAGGGACTGGACCTATGCAAAAGGGTGTGTGTTCAAAATATACCAAGCTGGGCTTCTGAACGCTCCTGGACTGATTAAATACGTATGGGGAAGTTAACAAGGAGACATGGTATGAAGCGAGCACTTAATGGGGATTCTAAGTACATGAGGATGGAATGATGGACGCATGTACGGGGTTCCAGGACCCTGTCATGGAATGATTCGGTTGAATGGAGGGGAGCTAAGGGTTGCGGGGTGGTTCTAGCGGTAAGGAGGTCTGTGGGACGTTTGAAGTGTTCTCAGGGATTCATGGAAGGGGTCTGAGGAGATCGGGAGCTATGCTAGAGAGCTTATGGGCTAAGGAATTTGGGGTGAGGCATGACAGCAAAGCGGTTCCACTAACTCCTTGTTAGGCTGATCAGTGATTATTAGGCTCTTTTCAAGCTCTTTACGTCGCACGATCATCACAACGTCCCTTCTCATATTAAGACAGAGGTATGACATGGGTTAAAGTCACGAAACTCACAGTAACGAAACAATCTTAAACTCAAGGCAGGTATTCATGAACTGCTTCCTGCAGGATCCTTTTTTGTTTTGCCAAACTTCACAAACCTTCACAAACTGCTTTATTTGCGATGTCGTCAATTCGAGTGTTCTGGGTGGCATCGGTATAGAGGGGGCAGGGAACTTGTTGATGGTGAACGTTGAACTTTCCGAAAGCTCTTGGTCAAACCCCATTTAGTCAGGAATCATCTCCGAATTGGAACAAGCATTGCATGACAACCTGGTTCGCGCCCGAGTCAGTAAACATGATTTGTACTGGATGCGAAAAGAGTACGTACGGATACGAGAAAATTTTTCTGCGAATACACAGACTGATGGTCAGGTTTTCATTATAGAAGCCATACCCCTCACACTTTCTTCTAAGATGCTCAATTGTCTAGTCCAAATATTCTACATGCAAGTAGTTTGTACCGCTCCTGAGTACAATGATCAGAAAATACGCCGTTTAGTCTTTTGCTATTTTGAAGGGTGCAAGGGTTTGCATAATTGGTGGTAAGTGGTACTTTTGTCCTTCACCCAACGCAGACCAATTTCACACCCAGGGCGCCCCCCTGATCTCGATGACATACTAGTAGGAACACCTGTACCGGTCAGTGTAGCACTAAGTATATGTGTCTTTTCAGTTCCTCAATTCATTCAGACTATATGAGCAGCCAGATGCAATAGCCTGAAGAGGACAATTGCATCTATTTTCACCCTACCGCACTTACTATGTCAAGGAGCCTGCAGATCACACAGTAAATACATCCCCGGAGTCCCTTGAACACCTTGTAACGTGAATGCTGAAGGAAACCACTCCTAGCAAACGTGAGGTAAGGTTTATGTATATTTTGATAGTGCTGAATCTCGAACTGATGCTTCTTGGCAAGAGGAATAAGGTGAGCATTGAATATATCCGTTAATTGAAGTGATCTCTTACCTGATTTCATTTTTTAATAACTTGTCTGCGCATAGGTCGCTGTTTGAGTATATGTAATGACCAATGGGTCACATAGCTATCACTCTACTAGATTGTACTCCGCGTTGTAAAAACACGGTCTGACCAGCTCCAAATATTGCTAGCAGTCAAGACATGTGTGCTGGTAAAAGTAGCTGTACCGGTGTTGGATTAAGTATCGTGTTTTGGAAGAGGATAGGGGTTTTCTAAAGAAGGTAAGTGATCATTCACCCTATCCACCCTCATCGGATCCAGGTGCAAACTGTTTAAACAGAAAAGAGTATGCAAAACGCCGAGTATATCTGTTACAATTGTCAAAAACATTGAAAACTGAGTCGGACTACCTTTGAACATCTCTAACAAATTAGTAGCAACCAGTCCAAGGTGAGTCATCTTTTTGAATGAATGAAATGACGAAGAGAGTAATAAAATCAGCTTCTACCTATAGTTTTCCCTGCTCTTGATGACCAGTATCCGTTATACTTGGCTCTGTAGGTCCCGATGGCTTTCTCTGGGCATTCTGCTTGAATGAAATCATAAGCCTGTAGACGGACACCACATAGCCTCACACAGCCGGCGATCGCGAGTGGCTGTGGACTCCGACTCAGAGCCCGGAGGCAAATATAGCTATGTATAAGGTGAAAATAAGGTGGAATCGATTTGGACATCCGACGCTCAACACCACTGGTCAACCGGTCAGCGTTAGCACTGTGCAAGTGTCTTTGTTCTTCCTTTTTCCGATTGTATTGTTCATTAATCTTTATTTTCCAAACTAGTCTTTCAACCCAAGAAAATCGACAACCTATGCATGAGCAATAAATCTGCAGGCCAAATTTATTGCCATTGTAACCTCCAAACTAACTATCTGTAAGCACCTCTTTCGTCCTTTTTCTCATCGTCAATTTTCTTTTTTTTGCAATCGTAAACTGATGAGATGATATTCTCAAAAACTCAGATTCGACACGATGTTCCTTCGACGATCCTCAGCCTTTTGCCAAATATTCTATCTGTACATCGTTTTCGCTGCTCTCCTCGGTGTGTCTCTGGTAACCAGTAGTCCCTTGGTCGCTGTGCCTCATTTGCTTGAACGGAGTGGGGGAGATCAACCCAAAATTACACGTCCACGTCAGGAGATGAAGCAACACTTCTTGTCAGCTGCAGCCCTGATACGTAGTTTTACAGAAACCTCCAAAAATGGTGATCTGGTCATCAGGCTTGGATGCAGAGAACCAGGTCAAGAGGAAAAATACATGGTCGCAAACGTTAGAATCATGAGTCTCCTTAAAAAAGACCTAAAATTCACCATTTTCTTTGGCACCATCGTTGGCTTCAGCGCTTCCAACGTGACCGTTCCCGGCGACTCGCACTAAAAAGGTCATTGTTGAACAGTCAGACATTCCGCGCTCTGATGTCTCCGAAACTGCGCAAAGTCACCACACTCCGAGAATCGACCAGGGTCGCTTGATCAAATTGGGTCCGGGCCGGGATTCAAGCCTTGTAGCTCACTTCGACCGCAACAATGCCGCGAAGAAACAATTGGTCAATACGTTTGGTGACGCTGACAAGTTGCTCTCGCACACCCAGGCCATGTTCCTCGAAGAGTACGGGTTCTCATGGGCTCATATTTTGGTTATCAATGATGACCTGGACTATATCACTGTTGCCCTGATTTGCATGCAAATGATGAAGGGCCCAGAGGGACAAGTATTGGCTCAGGGTGTTTTGGGGGAATGGCTCAAAATATACCTGGCCATGAAAGCTCTGAGGGGATCAGATAGCAGTCAATATGTTATGGCTGTAGAATGGTTGCTTGAAGGTAAATATCATCATGTAGCAGAGTCTGAACAGACTCCAACACAGTAGCGTTCGAGGTAGGACGTATTTCATAGCTAGTCTACAGTAGTCTACGGATCGCGTACAATGGTCAAATAGGTGAATAATATTGGATTTTTTTCCATTTACTTGCTTTCTATCCATCTCCGATTAGCGTAAGGCGGCCTAAGAGGAGGTTCAAAAGAAAACTCAAAAGACCAAGAAAGAAAGAAAATCCCCGAGAACCAAAACATCACCCGCTAATCAAGAGGCCCTATCCGTATTGTCCTTCTCATTTATATTTACATCTCCATT